TCTGCAGGATTTCTGGATAAATGGTTCAGTTTACCAAACGATTCCGTAAAATGATATGAAAAGTAACCCTTTTTATACGTTCAAATTTTAATCCTTTATACTGCTTTTTTAATTATAACTCGCAAAAACTCAGTGAAGTAATGCTGAATTTTGCAATCTTGAAAATTAATAAATAATATCAATAATAAATTGCAAAATTACCCAACATATTTTAACGTATCTTTTCCTTTCTTGGCTGGGAATGTTGCGTTTCTGTGACTTATGTCATTTGTTGACTGAAACTTAAGATCAAATCCAAAAATTTTATCGTAGCATAAAACGCACCTGTCGTTGGCACATAGTACTTGATAGAAGACAGAACGAACTTTCCCAGTTTTAAAGGAGAACCTCCGTGTGACGGGTCTAAGGATCTTTCCCTACCACTAAAAAAATTCAACAGTAGACTTTCGACTCGCATGCATTTTAACTGCTGCAATGTTACAAGGGCACTACATGCCTATAATCATCCAAGCCTTCACCAAAATTCGAATTCGACCGTAACGATCGTTATGTTAATTTATTCAGTGATTTTGTTAATTTATTCAGTGTATAAGGTATTTCTCTCGCGATCTTAGCGTTCCTTCGTGGTGTAATGGTCAGCATACTCGGCGTGTGTTCGAGAGGTCCGAGGTTCGAGTCCTGGCGAGGGCACTGCTAATTTTTCATGTCTCCTGATTCGAATGTATCTACAAGTGTGGCGTTGAATCGAATTCATATTAAAATTCATGAGAAAAAATATAAATTTCTTTAATTTAATACATGATAAACAGAAAATGAGATAAGATAGTGATATATACAAAAGGACATAAACACAGAATTTGAAAAAAATAATACTGAGCGACTTTCCTTTCACCGTACAAAGTTTTAAAACCGAATCTAATTCTCAATACTTTGTAAAACTGAAATATTTTTGGTGAAATGTTATTCTTCAATAAATGATGGAAGACAAACCTAAATTCTAATTTAATTAAGACTAAACTCTGTCCTCGTTAAAGACAAATTACAAATATAATGCCTTGTTAAAAGTTTCGGAACATACGACTGAACTCTTCTATCCTTCAGCAGTACATTAATTCATTTAAAGATGAATTTTAGCGATGGTTCTCTGTCATTTGATTTAAGCATCCCAATTAAGATGCTGTTCACTTTAAATCGAAGTAAATTAGTCTGAATTAGCTACGTACTAAATACTCTTTAGATTGGGCAATCTGTATTGAATCGGAACGTTTATCTAGGGCATAGAAACTTGTTTTATTAAAATATCGGAGATTTCATTTAATTATTCACTTTCATATGCTATTGCCGATACTTGAATTAGTACTAACTATTGTAACCAAATTGCCAATGTAATTTCCATCAGGCAGACATTTTGTTCATTTTATGCCAAATGAGATATACAGATACTCAGTATATGTTAAGAAAGCTTTTGTACTTAGTATTAATCAGAAAACTTTAGCTTTAGTTTGGCTTTAATTATAGGCCGGTTTTAAGTATAATGGAAAATAGTGAAATAAGTTCTTAATCTCAAAGAACGAATCTTTTGCTTTTGCTATTCGGTCCTTTGCTGTTGAAACAATATGTAAGGGAAAAAGGGGAGGAGCGAAATGATTAGAGGAACTGCCAGAAGAAAATGGAATAAACTTAAGTCTAATTCTAATTGTGTGTGCGTAAAGAAAGTGGTAAGGAAACTCTAATAAAACTGAAATCAAAGTATCACCTTGTATTTTCTTTTCCAATCAGCTATCAATTTACTTCGTGATAAAAAAACACTCTCTTGCTATATTATGTAAGATATATATTATTTAACTCATTTTTAAGCTGAATAATTACTTAGTATTTTATTATTAGCCCAAACGGGAAATTTCTCCAGAAGGGCTATTTACTTAGCTTTAGCACTTTGCGTTTATTTACTATAAATGGTTGTTCATTCACTTTTTAAATTGTTGCCGCCAAATATTAAAGCCTATATTATATTTAAAACTTTTTTATCTCCAGCGCACAAGACTGTATATTGAAAGTTCTAAAGATATGCTCATTTTAAAATTATTTTGCGATGTTGCTGTTGAATTGAATGTGATGGTTTAAGTGCGAAGACATGATATTTAATAAATAAAGGTAAAAGACAAAATGTTAAAAAACGCCCCTTTGGGTGTAATATAAAATCTGAAAGTTTTCACATTTTTTCTTTGTTAATTCATTTTCACAGAGTAATTTATATTTTATATTGTTCAAATATTTCGCATCATTATATGTACACCTTCGTATGTATTACTTAGCAAGAAGACATAAATAACAAAATTACTATTAATTTTAAATAATTAGGCGCTCGTAATATGAGACGAAGTGTAAAAGAAAATAACAAGTTTAACGATAATAACAAGTTTATGTCATGCATCCATTCTTAGAAAATATAATACATTTCCTTGAGTATTATATTTTCTAAGAATGGATGCATGACATATCATGTTTTCCAGCTGTGAAATTTTCTGCGTGAAAATTTTTAGCAAATGCCACCAATAAGTTCTTATGTTTTACCAAAGAAAGTGAAAGATCTTTGCCGAATATAGCACGTGCGTTATTTAAAATAAATCTCTTCCTCCTAGAATTTCTGCGACTTGATCCACTCTTGGTTTGCTATAAGAGCAGATGCTGAATAATACCTTAGGACTTTTTCCGGAATAAAAACCTCTTCTTCATTCTTCTGTCCGTATTTTAAGGGAAAAAAAATCCCTTTGCGGCATGCACTTGGAAATAAATGATGGCTAAGAGGAAAGACGACAAAAGTAAAAATAATGAAAAAAATACAAAGAAAACTCAAGAATGAGTGACTTGGACGTATTTCGTTGACGTTTGGTGATGACTGATGAAAAGTCTTACTTCTTTCTTTTTTCCTCTTTTCTCCTTTTTTTTAATATTACTACTATTATTTTTCTTCCCTCTCTTAGCTTTCAACGTAGGGAAAAGGAGTTTTAAAAGGGCCTCCTATAGAATGAGGAAAACCGAATGCGCTGCATTGGTTGAGTGACGTAATGATAGAAAAGGAAATACAGAAAACAAGCATTTTTAGAAATGCAGACTTGGGGCATGATGGATTTAAAGGGCGAAGATCGTTATTTTGCGAGACTTCTATGACCGCAAAGAAGTACGCCGGTATGGCTTTAGGTGTTTTACCAGTTTATAAATGCATCATCTTTTTAAGTTATTTAGAAGACAGATGTTGAAAACATCAAGTCCTAATTAAATGCTAATTTATCCACAATTCGCGCTTAATTGTTTTTCATTAATTTTTAAAATGTAATTCCATTTCATACAGTGAAATTTGAACACAACATTTCTTGCAAGCCTCGTGCGCAAGCGACCATTCAAATGAATGTTTGATTTGGAACTTAACAATCTGTTATGAATTTACTAATTGATCTAGTACTGTAACTGATCTAAGTACTATTTCTAAATCTGTTTTGTAACCCGGTTAACGTTCCTTAATTGTGTATAAGGCAATACTCAGGAAATGTCCTTTTTTTCAAGATATGGGAATTCTAAAATCAATATTACTTATGGAATTTTAATATTAACTGAAACCACATCATATTTACTAATGCAACTACATAATTATAATTGTTAATACTATTTACATCTGCGCATTGTTGTAGTAGTCCTATTTATTTCTAACATTTCAAATCCAGCCGCCCAGACAGTGTAGTGGTTAGGGAAGGTAAACCGCTGAGTTGGCTTCAGACCTAGGTATAGTTATATCCATGCAGAATTGGTTACCAACTCGGCGGGAGTCAACCACTAGCTATCAGGCCGCAGCCCTGGGCATCCCCGGCTGAGCAGACGACATTTATAAAATGCAAAAAAGAGATATACATGTGCATACAAGGCACTTGAAGAAGAGTACAGCAATGTACAAAGAAATATATGCATTTGCATACAAGGCACTTGAAGAAGAGTACAACAATGTAGAAAGAAATATATACATGTGCATACAAGGCACTTGAGTACAATCAAAATATATGTACATACATATAAATACAAACTCATATACAGATATATACACACTTACATACATAGATATTCCGAAACAAATAAAAGTATCCATACTCTCACTCATATTGATATATATATACCCATACATATACGTTATCATGATAGTTAAAGTTTACAAGAAGCATGCCATTGAGGTACGCGTGATCCTTAGTATAAATTAGGTACCATAAATAAAAGATATAAACATGTACAGATACATTACAGCATTCAGATACAGTTCGAACTGTATGTATGAGAAACTGGCACAGCATAAATACAAAATTACATATTGAACATACATATCATATACTCTGTTGCTGACATATTGAACTAGCTTATATAGACTTTTATGACTACTGTCTTCCAGTGTCAGAAGAGTAATTGCTAGTACAGTAGTCAATTATTGTTTTCAGTTTCTGCTGGGCAACTCTATTACTTTGTAGATTCTGGAACCAATTTTGCCAGAATCTGGCTCCTGGTTGCTTGAGGCTGTTAAGTGCTGTGTATGGGCAGGAGAACACAAAATGATCTGGATGACCCTCCTCCTCACATTCACAGTTACCATTCTCTCTCAAGCCAAAGCGGCAGAGGTATGAAGGAAAGGGCCCATGACCGGTGAGGAAATACGTCATGCAATTGCTATTAGTTTGGATTTTTGTCTTGACCTTGGGAATGAGATTGTAAACACGTCTCCCTGTGGAGGCTTGATCCCAACGTTCTTGCCATATTCTTAGGAGCTGATGGAATGTCCGACTCTTTAGGTCCGAGACTGGCCTAAGGGTCGGGACTTCTCGCAAAGTGGATGAATCCGCTGCTTCCTTTGCGACAACATCTGCTCTCTCATTTCCTTCTATTCCCGTATGAGCGGGCACCCAGATGAGTGAGGGTCTTTGCGAAGCAGGCATGTGGGTTAGAATGTCTCTAATGCTGCTGACGATAGGACTGCGAGAACGAATTCCAGCTATCGCAGCGAGGCTTGAGGCTGAGTCTGTGTAGATGATATTGGGCACTGTGGGATTATTCTTCAGGTGGAGAAGAGCTGCTCTGATTGCTATGAGCTCCGCCTGAAAGACAGAGTTTTCAGAAGCGAGCTTTCTTTTCCACTCATACGTAAAAGCTCCTCCAGAAAGTATGAAGAATCCGCTTTCCGTGCCCCCTGGAGTTTTAGAGCCATCAGTGAAAACACCATTTGCAAATCCCGAGTCATGTGTTCTATTAAAGTAGATAGTGTCCACAAGGTTATTTTTAGCAGGGTGGCAGGGAGCTTGCGGTATGTGATGCTCATAATCAGTATGGATATAAATTTGTCCCCAGAGACTCATGGTGTGTCGTAGTCTGCTTACGTTAATCACTGCAGCCTCTCGTTCAAATAACAAGTCCGGAGGCGGCGTGCCTGCGATAATTTGTAAGGCTGCCGTGGACGTGGTACGATAAGCCTTGCAAATGAGAAGAAGCTGGTGTCGCTGTATAGAGAGTAGTGAACGTCTCATTTGGGAAGAGATGTTAGTTCCCCAAATAGCAGCGGCATACAGAATAATTCTTTCCACAACTGTCTTGTACCATATTCTAAGCAAGTGACATGGGATACCCCATCTTAACGAGGTTGTTGATCGCATGGAAGTAGTCAGTCTATTGATTCTTAACTTTAAAGAAGAGATGTGTGGTTGCCAGGAAAGTCTATTATCTATTACTACTCCTAGGTACTTAAGTTGTTTAACACATTTAATGGAGGACCCCAAGAGTTTAAGACAGGGGTTTCTACGTAATGGAGAGCCTCGACTAATTATGAGTGCTTGTGTTTTAGGCACCGAGAGTTTCAGTTTATGCTCTCTCACCCAGTCAGCAAATAAATTAAGGCTATCCTGAGTTCGCGTTTCAAGGTCGCTTCGGCCTGCTACAATGAGTAAAAGTCGTCTGCGTATGCTAAAAGCCTTACTCCTTCTTTGTTTTCAAAGACTGAAAAAACTGAATTAGCAACTATGTTCCAAAGAACGGGTCCAAGACAGGAACCTTGCGGACATCCCCTCTTAAGACCCTTCCTTACCAATTCTCTGTCTAACGTCATTAAAACTTGTCTTTTGTCAAGATAGCTGTGAATCAGGTGTGTTATGGAAGTAGAGCATTTGAGGGCATCCAAACTGTTCATGATGTCGGGCCACCACAGCGAGTTGAAAGCTTGAATATCGAGAGATACGACTGCTGTATGCCTATCTTCCATTTTGTTAGTGAGTATTATATCCAACAGCTGACTCAATGCGTGCTCCGTGGACATACCTGGTTTGAAACCGAATTGATTCTGATGAAAGCTTTTAGATCGTTCAATGAAGTACACGAGTCTGCCGAGTACAACTCGCTCAAGTAACTTACCCAGAGCAGGCAGGAGACAAACTGGCCTATATGAGGATGGAAGGAAAGAGTCTTTTCCTGGTTTTAGAAAAAGGGCCAGTTCAGCCGTCTTAGTACCAGCGGGAAAAAACCGGAGACGCCAGCATGCAGTCAGAAAAGCCAAGATTAAGACTGGGAATTTTTGGAAGATGATTTTAATCACTTGATTATCGAATTCATCCGGACCTGGTGCTTTACGAGGTGAGAGTGCTTTTATGATGCGGTCAACTTCTGCTTTGGATGGAGGAGATTCAGTTTCTTGCATACCAAATGTAGAGTAATTCTCAAAATTATGGCGTAGGGAACGATGTTTTTCCAGGTCTTCATCCGGATCGTTATCAGGAAAGATATTGTCAAGGAGAAATTTGGTCAAGGAGAAATTACTCTGCTGTTGAATTGGCAGTGGGACGAATAATCCGTGGAAGTGAGGTAGGCCTGAACACCTTATTCATCGAGATTTTGGAAGCTTGTCCGTAAGAATGCGTAGTTTCGGTACAAAAATTTCTCCATGAAGAGAGCTTCGCTTGGTATATGTGTTTTTTATAGATGGCACGCGCCCTCCTAAAGTCCTGCATACGTAAGTTTCTAAGAGCTTGTTCTTGGGTGACCTGCGCACGCCTTCGTAGAGCTCTTAGACGGCTTCGTTCTTTTTGTAGGTCTTGGGTCCACCAGTGTGTTCTAGGGTTGCTCTTATACGCTTTGGTTTTGTAAGCTGTACGACAAGCTACGTCAATCGTCTGGATGAGTTGATCATAAGCTTCATCGAGGGTTTGCTGATTGTAGCTGTTATTGAGCAAAACAGTAATGTACGGGACTCTCGGTGCAAGACAGTCTAGGAACTTTTTGTGACCTCCATATATAGTCTTGTAACGTTTTCTCACCAAATAGCTGATTGGTATATCTATGCTATAAGTAATTAGGCGATGATCGCTTGCTGTGGGGATATCTTCGACCCTCCAGTTCTGAATGTAAGGGGCCATGAGGGCCGTAGTGATGGTAAGATCAGGCCAACCTTCTGATCTGGTTGTCCAAAAGGTTGGGGGAGAGTCTGATTCGTTAATTTGGATCAAATTGTTAGTGGCCATGAAGTCAATCATGTGGGTGGCTCTGGCATCCTCTCTCCTGCCTTCCCATAGAGGGCTCGTGGCGTTGTAGTCTCCCGCAAAAATACCGTATGATGCTGGAAATGGTAGTCTTTCCTCAAGTTCTCTGATTGGTACCTCAATATCCACACTCGGAGGGAAATACGATGAAGTGGCTGAGAGTTTTTGATTGCAAGTCTCCAGGATAATGGTGACTGAATGTTCAGTGCTCAGGAGTAATGTTGGAGAAAGAGGACCTTCGTAAATGATGCCTGCTAAGGAGTTTCCAGACAAAAAGCAATTGCTTGTGTTGGGCAAACCTATGATCTTGCCGTAGGTGGTATAAGGTTCTTGAACCATGAGGAGATCTGCCTTCATCTGTCCCATAATCTGAATAATATTCAGTGTAGCCGCACGTGATCGCTGCAGATTACATTGCATGCATTTCAATCCTCGTAGGAGACGAGGGAGAACAAATCCCTGCTGGTGCTGGTCTATGAATAGACCCGAAGTTGTTGAAGAATGTCCTTGTACGTGTGGCATGTTTTTGCGTTTGCCTGGTGATTTACACTGTAATTTGTGCTCTTGAGAGCGTTTGAGTGAGAGCAGTTGTTACAATGCTCTGCCTCCGCAGTACACTTCTCAATCGAGTGCCCCTGAACGCGCCTGGCGCACACCGGATTGGACTTGCACGTTCTACTTATATGACCAAATTCCTGGCAGTGATAGCACCTGGTAATATTAAAGAATTTTTTAATCTGGCAGGAATTAAAACCCAAGTAGATTCTACGTAGAGAAAGGATAATTTCCTCTAGAGCTGGGTCTATATCAAGAATCCAATTTTGGCTCTCTGAGTCTCTACTCTTGACAGACTTACGAGAAACAATAGCGTCTTGCTCCGTGTTATGTACCAGTTGAGAAATCGCGTCCGCTACTTGCTCTCCCGTGAATTCTTTTGGAGCTCCAAATAGTATAAGAGCACGCCGCTTTGGACGTGGAAACCTGAGAGAAATGGAATCTTTAAGTAGAGGTTGTTCCTCTATGGCGTTCTTGATAGAGATAATATCAGAAATGGAATTGCACCTATTGAGCAGTTCTCTGCTGTGCGTAGGGCGTATTTGAACTATTTTAGTTCCGAGCTGCGCTGCCTTAAGTTCAGTTGCCAACTGGATCCTAACGCTTTCAGGCGTTCTGGAGGAATCCTTAGGTCGAAGAAGGAGAACGTGCTCTGGTAAATTTAGGCTCTGTGCGTAAGATATTATTGGAGGAGGAGGGAGCAGAAATCAGGTTAGACTGCTGTATTGCCTTTTTCCTTCCTCGTCGAACTACTTCAGTGAATGGCGTAGGGTCTTCTTCAATAAGATCAGGCTCCTTATCTTTGGCTGTTATTGTCCTAGTGGAGGGGGTTTGAACAAAGATTTAGTTGCGTGAAGCTGCAAGCTACCCTTCCAAATTAGCTATGTAAAGTTATGTTAAGCTATGTAAAATTAGCTCTGTGAGCAAAGATCTAATGTTGCTGAGGCAGATTTTAAGGGTGTTGCAATCAGCTTTGTTTAGCCTGTGGGTCGCGTTCTTGGCAGTAAGAAATGTAATTACTCTATCGCAGATCTTATTGAATGCGTCAGCTCTCTTTGGGGCTTCTGAGTTTGATGTTGCTGGTTGTTCAGATGAGGGGAAGTAATCAGAGAGGTGCTAGTAAGAAACGAGGTAGTCGATTTTGCCGGCGATATTGACTCATTTGCCATTTTGAACCCGGTACATGCAGTAGAGAATTGCGGCTCTAAACCGTGAAGTGAAACTATATTGTGCTATTAGATGCTTTGTCTAGTGATGATGAAAAGGAATTACATATAGGTAAATACAAGCATAGGTAGTCAGTAAATATAAACTAATTAGTTCGGAAAACAGCTAGTCTTAAAGACAACAATAGAAATAATAATAGTAAAATTCACGAGTACAGTAATCTCATCTGAATGGGGCTAGAAAACTGTTAAGTTAGTTACTACAGTATTAACATCAGTTGCAGACAATGACAGTTAATATGCAGAATAACAAAAAAAAGCGAACAATTACATAATCTAAGGCAGTACAATTAAATATAAGTGCGTGCAATGAAAGCGCTGCCAACAGTTAGCGTGCACGGGTACAAGGAGACAAGTAAATGAGAAGTGAATGGATGTTACAGAAAACTCATTAATTTCCGTCACAAATGCCAAATGTATGGAACTGAATGCTGTGAAGAAACCAGACACAGAACCTATTACTCATACAATGCATACAATACACAGAATAATTGCATATACAGAAATAAAACCTAAACGAACATAACAAGGTATGGAAACAGAGTACAATAGATGGCTATCAGTAAATAAGCACAAACAAAAATTTACAGGAAAATGAAATTAAATAAGTATAAAAATAATAATAATAATAAAAAGTATTAAAAAAGTAAATAGAATAAAAGTTAAATGCACAGTGAAAAACTAGAATCAAGGGTTAAAAATTTGGGGTGTACTAAAGGCTGGCTAAGTACCGTGCAGCTAAGTTCAAAATGTAAACAAAAGCACGTGCAAGACTTCTAGCAACTGCACTCTATTATGCGCGCATGCGCTAGAAGAGGTTGACAAGGAGTTGTCCGACAAGTTCAGAGAGCGACCTGTCCGCTGGACCGGAGGTAGAAAGATGGGTAGCTTCCCGTATGTTCCTGCAATGAAAAGATACGTCACGCGGACGTCAGATGAATGTTCGTCGCCATGTTGGACCCTTAGGGTGCATTTCTGTGGGGCCTCGGCTCTTTAGCGTTTAGTTAAAACTTTAATTATTTAACATTTTAGAGGACCTTTTAGAGAATCTTAAGTTCCGATTTTTCGCACTCATATAGAGATGTGTGACTTCTCTCTCGTAGTTTTTTAAAATGACGAATTTCTCATATGATTCATGATGCGTTTTTAAAACATTTTCACATATACTTCAAATTCATATATAAGTTACAAACACTTTTTTGTCAACTTGCTTCTGAATTTTCAGTTTATACTTTTACATACATGCATAATGTTAGACAACTCAAAATGTACTTTTTGACAAGAGATTTCCCGCAGCTGTATTCTTAATTTCCATGAGGTTATAATGGGTTTGAAATCACGTTTTCATATTTATGTAACTACTTTTCTTTTATAATTCAAGGTAGTTTCATGTATATATAAAAATTATAAGCCTTTCAATACAGTACTTGTATGATAATTCTTAATATCTTAACTATACCATTTCAGTACTGATGGAGTTAAGCATATTACTTTTATTTACATTACATGTTTAAATTATTTAGAGAACATTAAAGCTGTGGCTACAAATTTGTATGAAGAAAACTTAAGTAATTTTTAAGTTTCTAAAGCTTTTCTGAATCAAAAGTTACTTTTCTAAAATTGTAAGCAAATTTTATATGATAAGTGGATAATACATGCTGATGCTTTAATATATCTAGCAAGTTCGCATTTTAAACTTCTGAAAAATTTAATAGCTTGTCTGCATAATAATTCTTGTTTTTCATTTTTAATCTACGTCTTGTTTATCATTTTTTAATATGCAGTTTGAAGTTTGCTCACATGGAATCGAATGTTTATTATTGCAACAATTTGGTTAAAAATGTTATTTTGTGTGCATATCCAGAAAAAGGCAGCTAGAAGCTTTATGATTAAAAATACTGATTTGAGATATACGTTTCTAAATTTTGATATTTTTCGCAGAATGCTATAAAAACTATTTCAATGCTCTAATGGCTGTGAGAATCTATATTTAAAAATCAATTTTTATATAGATTTAGCAATGTAAAAATTCCACATCAAAAATACACTTTTTTTCCCTTTATTTAGCTAAAAAGAAAATTTTAAAAATGAATACACATAAATAAATAAAAATAAAAAGAATACCTTTTCCATCACACAAATTTACAGACACTATTTACCCGATACATTTGCTATTGAGAGTTACTTTATATAATATATAAAAAAACTGGTAAATTTATAAATTAAATGAGGGGAAAAACATACATAAAATTTAAAATTTTAATTTTATATTTGCTTTATATGAGTAGAGAATTTTATATTTGCTTTATAGAAATAGTGAATATTTGTTAAATTCAAATTTCATTCCTTGAAGCAATGGCACAAGAAATTATTAAAATTAATTTAATTTTACTATTTTCTCGTGAAACAATGTTGTTAATATATTATTACACATATCTAACAATTAATGGATACACTTCAGTTACTCGGAATGGGAATTAAAAATCGTATGTATATATTTATTTGAATAATATATGTGTGTTATGTATACACACGCATACATACGCATGTTCATATATACATGCATTCATATACACATACATTCATATATAGATTTCTGAATCCGGTACCGATAATTCCATAACATACTACGTAAGATTTAACCTATAGCACTGCAAGGACAATCTAAAATCAAATTCTTATTAATTAATTTGCATAAGTAAAAACAAAAATATTATTTAGCTTCAGATCTACATCTTCTGATAGCAAACATATGCAAAACAATTGTACTTATAGTGAAAATAGAGCAAAAATAGTAATTTTTTCACTCTTTTTTTCTAATGTAGTGCAAGTCATTCCATTACATTAAAATTTTATTAAAATATAGTAACTGGATTTTTCCATTATAAGTCAACACCCTTATATAGAATATACATAAGTCAACAGCTTTATATAGAATCACATAATATTAGTTCTACTTTACTGAATTTTTATTTATGTGAATTTATGGAGAAATGCTAGAATAACTTGCAAAAAAACCATCTGAATAAATCTTAGCCGACACTGTTTATGATAGTATTTTGTTTTCAATATAAAGTTTTTAAGGTATATCAATTTGGTTCAGTTTTTTCCCCCTTATTAAAGGAGCTAACCTAAGAGACCTATTTCATTTACATATATCTCATTAATATGTTAAAAATATAGCTTAAGTAAGTTGTATGTGCATACTGAAAGCAGGGGAAAGCCTTAATTCAAAACCTGTTTTAAAGCAGTAAGTAAATAAATAAAATACATTGCTTTTTTT